TCCACGATCTCGTGAACGATGAGGTGTTATCGAATGATAAGGACGAGGATGATTTTGATGAAGATGGCGATGAAGACACTGGCGAAAAACTACCTGTCAACCTGTCTACGAACAAACCATTCATTCACCCCTATAAAAATGACACCACTATTACTACCAAAATCTCGAAAAAAGATTGAAATCAAATACCTTCTTTGTTAATGTATCCTTTCTAGCACTGGAAAGTGAGTTCTGTTATATAAAATGATCTAAAAGTGTGGTTAGATCAAACGTGTTGAAGGTCGGATATATATATTGTGTGTATATCCAACTATTATATAACCCGTCATCCGTTCCTATCTTGTGGGACATGTAAAATGTACGTGTAAGGAAGTGTATAGACTGTCAGGCAGATATGGAAGATTTAGGCTGGATATGATGTTCTGTGCGTGATATATGAAATTCATTCTCATTCAGATCGTAATAAATCTTGTTTAGGTACTCTTCCCATGGAACCATGGGGACTAACTAAACCAGGATTGTTAAGACGGGTCTGTTTATACCAAAACTACTAAGCCGATGAGACGGCCCACCAGTTGGACATGGCAGGCATTAATATAGGAACCCAAGTATTTCTACTACCATACTGACAGCTGTGTCCATGTAACAGTTAGTAACCCAAATGTTTAGTTATAAACCCAAGTTTTACTGTATACACATAGAGTTTATTGGCTACGTAAGGAGTACTAGAATGAGGTCAGACAGACTTGGGGGTAACAGTTAGTAACCCAAATGTTTAGTTATAAACCCAAGTTTTACTGTATACACATAGAGTTTATTGGCTACGTAAGGAGTACTAGAATGAGGTCAGACAGACTTGGGGGTAACAGTTAGTAACCCAAATGTTTAGTTATAAACCCAAGTTTTACTGTATACACATAGAGTTTATTGGCTACGTAAGGAGTACTAGAATGAGGTCAGACAGACTTGGGGGTAACAGTTAGTAACCCAAATGTTTAGTTATAAACCCAAGTTTTACTGTATACACATAGAGTTTATTGGCTACGTAAGGAGTACTAGAATGAGGTCAGACAGACTTGGGGGTAACAGTTAGTAACCAAAATGTTTAGTTATAAACCCAAGTTTTACTGTATACACATAGAGTTTATTGGCTACGTAAGGAGTACTAGAATGAGGTCAGAGAGACTTTGGTTTAACGAGGCCAGTACCTCATGAGACCACGGTCAGTCCAACAATAATTGGTCTTTAGCAACTCATGCTTGTCGTAAGAGGAGACTAACGCAGATCGATGCTCATGCTGTTGATCACTGGATTGTCTAGTCCAGACTCGATTATTTACAGACCTCCGCCATATACAATGTAGCTGGAATATTGCTGAGTGCGGTGTAAAACTAAACTCACTCACTCACCCCAACAGTAACATTGGTTCACCGTCAAAACTAAACAACCGGGCCATACACATATACCCAGAGATAAATTTGGTGATGTCTAAATACAGTCACTCAAACATTTCAACCTACATAGGCTTGGTTGTAGTCTCTGGTGCATTATTTTCATGTCATTTTAGGTTAACTTCTTGTCAACAAATGATAAATGATGTATCAGACGGACAGGATGACGAGACTGGTTGGATTATCCATTGATAACGTTCTTAGAGTGTAGGTCACGTCAGGGGCTTATCACGTGTTGGTAATTAAAAACTTATCAATCAAACTCATTTTGAATAGGTCACACATGTGTGTGTGTGTGTGTGTGTGTGTGTGAGAGAGAGAGAGAGAGAGAAATATAGATCTATTGTATTAGAATTATTTAAATGCAACTGTGTTCGTAATACAAATGTATTATCAGTGTATGTTTATTATCTCGTTCCATATTATACTGTCCAGATCTATGATGTTAATTGTCCACACCCAGGAGGTGGTTGGGAGATACGGGAATAGGTGCTGTCTGTCTCGTTTCATTTCCGCGTTAAGGCGTTCATCATAATTTTTATTATGAAATTTTACATTTCTTTATCAAAAATATGATGAATTGGTGCCTCTTGTTGATGTTGGTATTTCTGATAAACATGTGTGCATGCGTGCGTTTTCCACAATTAAAGAGATACCACGCACGGGAACAGGTCAAAAGGGCCAAAGGACGAAAGGGCCAAAACTGGAAAAGTCAAAAGGGCCAAAGAAAAGTCAAAAGGGTCAAAGGAAAGTCAAAAGGGCCAAAGGAAAGTCAAAAGGGCCAAAGGAAAGTCAAAAGGGTCAAAGGAAAGTCAAAAGGGCCAAAGGAAAGTCAAAAGGGCCAAAGGAAAGTCAAAAGGGCCAAAGGAAAGTCAAAAGGGTCAAAGGAAAGTCAAAAGGGTCAAAGGAAAGTCAAAAGGGTCAAAGGAAAGTCAAAAGGGTCAAAGGAAAGTCAAAAGGGCCAAAGGAAAGTCAAAAGGGTCAAAGGAAAGTCAAAAGGGCCAAAGGAAAGTCAAAAGGGCCAAAGGAAAGTCAAAAGGGCCATAGATTAAAGTGAAAAGGGGCATACTTCTAGAAAATAGTAAGATTAAAAGTAATTCAGGAAAGATTTCCGCCCGTAACCCCCGTATTATATGCCTAAGAATATACGCCTATGTTTTTTTATAAACAGCCTGTACTACCTAAACATAAACCCTAAATCTAACCCTAAACCCTCGAAATAATCCTAATAAATAGAATACATTTCAAGCGGGGGTTACGGGCGGAACTCTTACCATAACGCTTTTAAGATTTACAGTTCATTTCTGTACTTTACAAATCCCCTTTAGATAAAACATATTAAGAGTGTCAGCTCAAACGATTAGGAACCGTCTGAAAGAAGCGGGTTTACGTGCCTGTAGACCAGTTGTTGGACCTGTACTACGCCCCCTACATCTCCGCCGACGACTCAGGTGGTGCAACAACGTAAGGATATGGACTTTACAAAACTGGAGGCGCATCTGGTTTTCTGATGAATCCCGTTTTCTTTTTGCAACATCACGACGGAAGAAAAACGTGTGTATAGGAGGAGACGTCATGAACGTTTTGCGCCCATCTGCGTCCGACAGGGGCACAGATTTGGCGGAGAAAGCGTTATGGTTTGGGGATCCATCTCATACAACCAGAAATCAGACTTGGTGATCGTTGAAGGGAACCTGACAGCCCAACGTTACATCAACCACGTATTACAGCCTCACCTTCTCCCGATTATTGACCAACAGACACAGATTTTTCAACCAGACAACGCCCGGCCTCATACTGCACGTGCAACAATGAACTTTCTGCAGAATTCCAACGTCAATGTCTTGCCATAGCCCTCTAAATCACCAGACCTCAACCCTATTGAACACCTGTGGGATACTCTGGGTCGACGCGTACGTCAACGTCAGCCGCCGCCACAGACGCTGCAACAGCTCGGCGTTGCACTGCAGGAGGAGTGGAGAGCCATTCCCCAGGAAAGAATCCGGCGTCTTATCCGTTCTTGTCCAAGGAGATGCCGTGCAGTGATTGCAGCTGGTGGTGCTCATACGAGATACTGAGAAAGACGCCCCTGGTGACAAACTGGTGTCTGTGAGATGACTTCTTTGAAATGACAATTTTAAACATGCCCATCTTGGTTATTATTCTGCCAAATTTCAGACTTCTGTCTTAAATAATAAAAATGCTGTGTTGTCTTAAAACTTCAGATCAAAATCTCTAAAATACAGGGGTTGCGTTTCTTTTTGACAGAGTTTATTACACTTTATATAAAGATCATGTACATGCAATTGAACATAAATATATTACCTCGTCTCAGGGACGCAGGCTGGAATGAGTGATCGATGTGCAGTGATAAGCCCTGCACAAATAAATATGCTATATAAATATAGGATAATAGTTATGGTACACTTACGTTAGCATGTACAGAATACATTATACATTCCCAAAATAATATACATACATACATGATACATAGAATACTTCTAACGCGTTTACACATACAAAATGTACATATATATATCCTATGAAATACACTTGGCATATACCTCTGTTGAATACACAAGTAAGTTGAATTAAACCTACCTTACAATATAATACACTACTAGCTAAAATACTACATATATATAACAATGCTTAAAATACATAATAACCAAACCTAAGATGCCAGATACAGTAATAAATGAACTCATCCTATGTGATCTTGTGCAGAGAATGTGCTCACTGGCAGAAAGGAGAAATAGGTTGACTGACCAGCAAAAGTTTGAAGCAGTCACTCCACATGACTAAAACAATCATATGGCCCCAGAGAACAATAAAACCCTAATCACAGGCCAAGCCTGTGACTGCCCGAGTGACAATACCCATGAACCTATATACAATGAAAAGGCTGAACTATCCAAGCTTACCTATGAGTTAGTAGATTTGTGCAAGTGCTGAAGTTAACACAAGTATTCAAGAAAAGTGAATTTTAAATATCTAGGTTTAGGTTATTAAATATTTAGGTTTAGGTTATTAATACTTCATATAAGTTTACTATGATGATGATTAAAACCTAACAATATACTATTTGCAAACATACACATATCATACCGGGGTACTATGTTTACATACACTCGTGCCTGAATATCGATATATATCGCTCGCTCTCCCTCGGGAAATATCAACAATGTTACATTTAGGCACTTGTGTTGTAAACATATATATAGTAACCTAGCTACATGTCGTATAATATCCTCTATTTATTAATCGTTTTTATTTCAGAAATGAATTGAGTAGGTTTACAACGTAAAATCAGTTTTTCGATTATTTTCTGATACATATATCACAAAATGGAATGTATGATATTTAGAAGTATAATTTGATGACATCAGTAAACGATTCTTATATTAGGGGTTAAACGGCGCCTCACGGATGTGCTTTCATTAACCTTTATAAGGCCTCCCAAGACACAAAATTCAACAGTGGTTTTTTTTTTGTCGAACCAGGACTTGATGTAGTTATATATTTGTATAACTTCGGGCATGCATTCAGTGGATATGTTATCAAATTATCTGAATCAAGCGTTCAAGCCCGGACTACTTTTCCGCATCTCAAGGAACTTCCGGTGACAGCATGGCGGCGAAAAGAAAAGCTCACGATGTGTCAAGCCCGTGGATTCGAAATAGCATATTACTACTGTGTAGTTTGGGCATAGTTATATCTGGATATGCGTATCATGTTGAAATGTCAAAAGAAAAGGATGACTCGTACAGAGCCTTGTGTGATTTCAGTGAGACAATCAGTTGTTCCAAGGTGTTTACATCAAGGTAAATGTACAGGGAATATGACGGGGCCATGTGAAGGTTCACTAATTCATCAGATACAATTCTCTCCTGTTCATGCTCACTGGGGTTCAGTTCAAGTTCAGTTAATCTTTGTTTCTGGAGCTCAACTCGAAAACCGTTCAAACACACACACACACACACACACAGACGTATGTATCAATACAATTTTTTTCGTGTAAGCCCGAAGCCCGATAGGTCTTAGTATAATAGGAACCCGAACAATGTGATGAACTGTTGGTACACACAAACTGTCGTGACTGCAATCGTTAAACTGTCTCATTGTTATGTTGTAGATGGGGAAGAGGATTTGGCCTGATTGACAGAATTGTTGGACGTGAAAGCTTGCTGAACCAACCTAACAGTGTATTTGGCATGATCTTCTATGCTTTTCAAGTCACTATAGGTTTGTATACAATACTACAGATGTCTTTTGTTTACACTGTATGTGGTTAATGATACTTGGGTGGTGATAGCTTTGGGTACTCGGCGTATGCCTCTACTCCCCAACATCTGCAGTCTTATGGGTATTTTTAATTAAAATTTTAAATGAATTTGCAAATTCTGCCCGAATGTTTGAACATGTCAAATAAACTAAAGACTGATATTGGTGAAAGTAACAATGTGTGATATGTGGTACCTTGGGGCATTAGTAACTGCAAGGTCATGCATGTGATTTTGTACTTTGGCAACTCAAAATTAGTCAGGAAATGTCGATTTAGTTACAAACTTTGTGTAATTTATGCAAATATGCAGCTCTTTTGCAACCTTGGGGTTAAAGGCAGCTGCATCTCAATTGTATTTGTACTTTCTTTTTATGAATTTACACACATTCATGTTAAAAAATATATTCCCATTGTTGTTCACAAATGTTGTTTTTCAACACTAATACTTAAGAACCAACAGAGAGTATTGTTGAAATATTTTTTCATAAAATTAAAGACAATAAATATAGAAAAATATTTGTTTTCAAAACCATTTGCGTAGATTGATGTTCATGTTGTTGATCCCTGCATTGTCTGGTCCAGACTTGATTATTTACAGACCGCTGCCATATATAGCTTGAATATTGCGGAGTGTGGTGTAAAACTAAACTCACTCACTCACTTGTTTTCAAATAATGAGTGTTTTCTACATGTCAGAAACAGTGGCAGGTTAACTAATTTTATAGTGTAGTCAGTGGATGAAAACCCCTGCATGTTTAATTTTTTTAGTTGCAGACCAGATTCTTGTTGCAGCTTGTATGTCCACCATGGCACCATTTTTCTATTCTGTGTGTACGGCTTTGAGGGAATGTTAGAGATCCTCAGTGGAGTTGTCTGGTGGAACATTGACCATTACAAATATACAGGATTCCTGCATCATGGGAACTAAAGGCAATATACAGGATTCCTGCATCATGGGAACTAAAGGCAATATACAGGATTCCTGCATCATGGGAACTAAAGGCAATATACAGGATTCCTGCATCATGGGAACTAAAGGCAATATACATGGAACTAAAGGCAATATACAGGATTCATCATGGGACCTAAAGGCAATATACAGGATTCTTGCATCATGGGAACTAAAGGCAATATACAGGATTCCTACATCATGGGAAGTAAAGGCAATATACAGGATTCCTGCATCATGGGAACTAAAGGCAATATACAGGATTCCTACATCATGGGAAGTAAAGGCAATATACAGGATTCCTGCATCATGGGAAGTAAAGGCAATATACAGGATTCCTGCATCATGGGAACTAAAGGCAATATACAGGATTCCTACATCATGGGAAGTAAAGGCAATATACAGGATTCCTGCATCATGGGACCTAAAGGCAATATACAGGATTCTTGCATCATGGGAAGTAAAGGCAATATACAGGATTCCTACATCATGGGAAGTAAAGGCAATATACAGGATTCCTACATCATGGGAAGTAAAGGCAATATACAGGATTCCTGCATCATGGGAAGTAAAGGCAATATACAGGATTCCTACATCATGGGAAGTAAAGGCAATATACAGGATTCCTACATCATGGGAAGTAAAGGCAATATACAGGATTCCTACATCATGGGAAGTAAAGGCAATATACAGGATTCCTACATCATGGGAAGTAAAGGCAATATACAGGATTCCTACATCATGGGAACTAAAGGCAATATACAGGATTCCTACATCATGGGAACTAAAGGCAATATACAGGATTCCTACATCATGGGAAGTAAAGGCAATATACAGGATTCCTACATCATGGGAACTAAAGGCAATATACAGGATTCCTACATCATGGGAAGTAAAGGCAATATACAGGATTCCTACATCATGGGAACTAAAGGCAATATACAGGATTCCTACATCATGGGAAGTAAGGCAATATACAGGATTCCTACATCATGGGAACTAAAGGCAATATACAGGATTCCTACATCATGGGAAGTAAAGGCAATATACAGGATTCCTACATCATGGGAAGTAAAGGCAATATACAGGATTCCTACATCATGGGAAGTAAAGGCAATATACAGGATTCCTACATCATGGGAAGTAAAGGCAATATACAGGATTCCTGCATCATGGGAACTAAAGGCAATATACAGGATTCCTACCTACATCATGGGAAGTAAAGGCAATATACAGGATTCCTGCATCATGGGAACTAAAGGCAATATACAGGATTCCTACATCATGGGAAGTAAAGGCAATATACAGGATTCCTACATCATGGGAAGTAAAGGCAATATACAGGATTCCTGCATCATGGGAAGTAAAGGCAATATACAGGATTCCTGCATCATGGGAAGTAAAGGCAATATACAGGATTCCTACATCATGGGAAGTAAAGGCAATATACAGGATTCCTACATCATGGGAAGTAAAGGCAATATACAGGATTCCTACATCATGGGAAGTAAAGGCAATATACAGGATTCCTACATCATGGGAAGTAAAGGCAATATACAGGATTCCTACATCATGGGAAGTAAAGGCAATATACAGGATTCCTACATCATGGGAACTAAAGGCAATATACAGGATTCCTACATCATGGGAAGTAAAGGCAATATACAGGATTCCTACATCATGGGAAGTAAAGGCAATATACAGGATTCCTACATCATGGGAACTAAAGGCAATATACAGGATTCCTACATCATGGGAAGTAAGGCAATATACAGGATTCCTGCATCATGGGAACTAAAGGCAATATACAGGATTCCTACATCATGGGAAGTAAAGGCAATATACAGGATTCCTACATCATGGGAAGTAAAGGCAATATACAGGATTCCTACATCATGGGAAGTAAAGGCAATATACAGGATTCCTACATCATGGGAAGTAAAGGCAATATACAGCAATATACAGGATTCCTACAGGATTCCATCATGGGAAGTAAAGGCAATATACAGGATTCCTACATCATGGGAAGTAAAGGCAATATACAGGATTCCTACATCATGGGAACTAAAGGCAATACAGGATTCCTACATCATGGGAACTAAAGGCAATATACAGGATTCCTACATCATGGGAAGTAAAGGCAATATACAGGATTCCTACATCATGGGAACTAAAGGCAATATACAGGATTCCTACATCATGGGAAGTAAAGGCAATATACAGGATTCCTACATCATGGGAACTAAAGGCAATATACAGGATTCCTACATCATGGGAACTAAAGGCAATATACAGGATTCCTGCATCATGGGACCTAAAGGCAATATACAGGATTCTAGCATCATGGGAACTAAAGGCAATATACAGGATTCCTACATCATGGGAAGTAAAGGCAATATACAGGATTCCTGCATCATGGGAACTAAAGGCAATATACAGGATTCCTGCATCATGGGAACTAAAGGCAATATACAGGATTCCTACATCATGGGAACTAAAGGCAATATACAGGATTCCTACATCATGGGAAGTAAAGGCAATATACAGGATTCCTGCATCATGGGAACTAAAGGCAATATACAGGATTCCTACATCATGGGAAGTAAAGGCAATATACAGGATTCCTGCATCATGGGAACTAAAGGCAATATACAGGATTCTTGCATCATGGGAAGTAAAGGCAATATACAGGATTCCTACATCATGGGAAGTAAAGGCAATATACAGGATTCTACATCATGGGAAGTAAAGGCAATATACAGGATTCCTACATCATGGGAAGTAAAGGCAATATACAGGATTCCTACATCATGGGAAGTAAAGGCAATATACAGGATTCCTACATCATGGGAAGTAAAGGCAATATACAGGATTCCTACATCATGGGAACTAAAGGCAATATACAGGATTCCTACATCATGGGAACTAAAGGCAATATACAGGATTCCTACATCATGGGAAGTAAAGGCAGTATACAGGATTCCTGCATCATGGGAACTAAAGGCAATATACAGGATTCCTACATCATGGGAAGTAAAGGCAATATACAGGATCATCCTAAAGGCATCATGGGAAGTAAAGGCAATATACAGGATTCCTGCATCATGGGAAGTAAAGGCAATATACAGGATTCCTACATCATGGGAAGTAAAGGCAATATACAGGATTCCTACATCATGGGAAGTAAAGGCAATATACAGGATTCCTACATCATGGGAAGTAAAGGCAATATACAGGATTCCTACATCATGGGAAGTAAAGGCAATATACAGGATTCCTGCATCATGGGAACTAAAGGCAATATACAGGATTCCTACATCATGGGAAGTAAAGGCAATATACAGGATTCCTACATCATGGGAAGTAAAGGCAATATACAGGATTCCTACATCATGGGAAGTAAAGGCAATATACAGGATTCCTACATCATGGGAAGTAAAGGCAATATACAGGATTCCTACATCATGGGAAGTAAAGGCAATATACAGGATTCCTACATCATGGGAAGTAAAGGCAATATACAGGATTCCTACATCATGGGAAGTAAAGGCAATATACAGGATTCCTCACATCATGGGAATCATGGGAAAGGCAATATACATGGATTCCTACATCATGGGAAGTAAAGGCAATATACAGGATTCCTACATCATGGGAAGTAAGGCAGTATACAGGATTCCTACATCATGGGAACAATATAGGCACATCATGGGACAGGATTCCTACATCATGGGAAGTAAAGGCAATATACAGGATTCCTACATCATGGGAAGTAAAGGCAATATACAGGATTCCTACATCATGGGAAGTAAAGGCAATATACAGGATTCCTGCATCATGGGAAGTAAAGGCAATATACAGGATTCCTGCATCATGGGAAGTAAGGCAGTATACAGGATTCCTGCATCATGGGAAGTAAGGCAATATACAGGATTCCTACATCATGGGAAGTAAAGGCAATATACAGGATTCCTACATCATGGGAAGTAAAGGCAATATACAGGATTCCTACATCATGGGAAGTAAAGGCAATATACAGGATTCCTACATCATGGGAAGTAAAGGCAGTATACAGGATTCCTACATCATGGGAAGTAAAGGCAATATACAGGATTCCTACATCATGGGAAGTAAGGCAAAGGCAATATACAGGATTCCTACATCATGGGAAGTAAAGGCAATATACAGGATTCCTACATCATGGGAAGTAAAGGCAGTATACAGGATTCCTACATCATGGGAAGTAAAGGCAATATACAGGATTCCTACATCATGGGAAGTAAAGGCAATATACAGGATTCCTACATCATGGGAAGTAAAGGCAATATACAGGATTCCTACATCATGGGAAGTAAAGGCAATATACAGGATTCCTACATCATGGGAAGTAAAGGCAATATACAGGATTCCTACATCATGGGAAGTAAAGGCAATATACAGGATTCCTACATCATGGGAAGTAAGGCAATATACAGGATTCCTACATCATGGGAAGTAAGGCAATATACAGGATTCCTACATCATGGGAAGTAAAGGCAGTATACAGCCAGAGGGTCCTTGACCCTTCTTATAACACTGCTGTTAAACACTCAAGTTTCCATTCATATTTGTCAATGCTTGTTTTATCCTGTTTTACTACGCATCAGTAAGATATACATGTACAGTAGCTTTTCCCTCCTTGCACCAGCCCTGCACACACAAATAATGAAGGGCGGTGGGGTAGCCTAGTGGTTAAAGTGTTAGCTTGTCACACTGAAGACCCAGGTTCGATTCCCCACATGGGTACAATGTGTGAAGCCCATTTCTGGTGTCCCCAGCCGTGCCTGGAATATTGCTAAAAGTGGCGTAATACTAACCCCACTCACTCACAGATTCTGATCATCAGCCTTGTGTTTCAGCATACAACCCGACCTCATTTGGAGCCGTGGTACAGTTAGTGTCATCTATGATCGCCAACGTAGGCTCCATCTACCTGGCATACATCCTGTTCTTCGTGCTGAAGGATGTGTGTATTGTGTGTATGAGCATGTACGTCATCAACTTCCTCCTCCTCCTCTGCAGCATCTCCAAGTTGAGGCAGGCAATGGCTGCTCAGTCCCGGAAGCAGAGGTGATGGTAGCCACCTACAGGCACCTGACACTGATGCAAGGACTCTCCTCCAGAACCTCATACTTGTTGATTGTTTAGTCCTACCACTTGTTGAGAATACCCTTTAAATATGGCTGGTCCAGTATTTCAGTGGTTATGAGAATATATTGTTGACTTATTGCCGCTAAATGTCCATGTCCTGAACCAACTTGAAGCTGCCTGACTTTACCATTTTATCAAGTTATTTATTTGTGTTGATCAATTTTAGAGTCATAATACAAGGAAGGAAGGCAGCATCAGTTTACCATTAATCTAATCTCAGGTAAGGTACCGAAATGATTTTACTTTGCACAATCATGAGTTTTCCTAAGCAAGTGATTATTTCATGATATATTATGATACAAATGTAAGATGTCTAATACTATAATATTTATAGCTTTGTTTCCAGTTGCAGAAATTTTGTTTGTGTCAAGGTAGCATTTGCTCAGCAAAAGTGATTTATGATATGAATGGAATATACGTATTTGTGATGCTTGGTCATATATAACTATGTGCTGAACGTGTAACCAGCAATCAGGGATGAGTCTTTATGATCACTGGCAGTCTGTGGTTCGGTCAGACCAATCTGTGCATGACTGCCTGCAGCCCAGGTAGTGATGATTGTCTTTATGATCAATGGCAGTCTGTGGTTCGGTCAGACCAATCTGTGTGTGACTGCCTGCAGCCCAGGTAGTGATGATTGTCTTTATGATCAATGGCAGTCTGTGGTTCGGTCAGACCAATCTGTGTCATGACTGCCTGCAGCCCAGGTAGTGATGATTGTCTTTATGATCAATGGCAGTCTGTGGTTCGGTCAGACCAATCTGTGCATGACTGCCTGCAGCCCAGGTAGTGATGATTGTCTTTATGATCAATGGCAGTCTGTGGTTCGGTCAGACCAATCTGTGCATGACTGCCTGCAGCCCAGGTAGTGATGATTGTCTTTATGATCAATGGCAGTCTGTGGTTCGGTCAGACCAATCTGTGCATGACTGCCTGCAGCCCAGGTAGTGATGATTGTCTTTATGATCAATGGCAGTCTGTGGTTCGGTCAGACCAATCTGTGCATGACTGCCTGCAGCCCAGGTAGTGATGATTGTCTTTATGATCAATGGCAGTCTGTGGTTCGGTCAGACCAATCTGTGCATGACTGCCTGCAGCCCAGGTAGTGATGATTGTCTTTATGATCAATGGCAGTCTGTGGTTCGGTCAGACCAATCTGTGCATGACTGCCTGCAGCCCAGGTAGTGATGATTGTCTTTATGATCAATGGCAGTCTGTGGTTCGGTCAGACCAATCTGTGCATGACTGCCTGCAGCCCAGGTAGTGATGATTGTCTTTATGATCAATGGCAGTCTGTGGTTCGGTCAGACCAATCTGTGCATGACTGCCTGCAGCCCAGGTAGTGATGATTGTCTTTATGATCAATGGCAGTCTGTGGTTCGGCTCAGACCAATCTGTGCATGACTGCCTGCAGCCCAGGTAGTGATGATTGTCTTTATGATCAATGGCAGTCTGTGGTTCGGTCAGACCAATCTGTGTGTGACTGCCTGCAGCCCAGGTAGTGATGATTGTCTTTATGATCAATGGCAGTCTGTGGTTCGGTCAGACCAATCTGTGCATGACTGCCTGCAGCCCAGGTAGTGATGATTGTCTTTATGATCAATGGCAGTCTGTGGTTCGGTCAGACCAATCTGTGCATGACTGCCTGCAGCCCAGGTAGTGATGATTGTCTTTATGATCAATGGCAGTCTGTGGTTCGGTCAGACCAATCTGTGTGTGACTGCCTGCAGCCCAGGTAGTGATGATTGTCTTTATGATCAATGGCAGTCTGTGGTTCGGTCAGACCAATCTGTGTGACTGCCTGCAGCCCAGGTAGTGATGATTGTCTTTATGATCAATGGCAGTCTGTGGTTCGGTCAGACCAATCTGTGCATGACTGCCTGCAGCCCAGGTAGTGATGATTGTCTTTATGATCAATGGCAGTCTGTGGTTCGGTCAGACCAATCTGTGCATGACTGCCTGCAGCCCAGGTAGTGATGATTGTCTTTATGATCAATGGCAGTCTGTGTGGATTCGGTCAGACCAATCTGTGCATGACTGCCTGCAGCCCAGGTAGTGATGATTGTCTTTATGATCAATGGCAGTCTGTGGTTCGGTCAGACCAATCTGTGCATGACTGCCTGCAGCCCAGGTAGTGATGATTGTCTTTATGATCAATGGCAGTCTGTGGTTCGGTCAGACCAATCTGTGCATGACTGCCTGCAGCCCAGGTAGTGATGATTGTCTTTATGATCAATGGCAGTCTGTGGTTCGGTCAGACCAATCTGTGTGTGACTGCCTGCAGCCCAGGTAGTAGTGATGATTGTCTTTATGATCAATGGCAGTCTGTGGTTCGGTCGGTCAGACCAATCTGTGATCAATGGCAGTCTGCCTGCCTGCATGACTGCCTGCAGCCCAGGTAGTGATGATGATTGTCTTTATGATCAATGGCAGTCTGTGGTTCGGTCAGACCAATCTGTGCATGACTGCCTGCAGCCCAGGTAGTGATGATTGTCTTTATGATCAATGGCAGTCTGTGGTTCGGTCAGACCAATCTGTGCATGACTGCCTGCAGCCCAGGTAGTGATGATTGTCTTTATGATCAATGGCAGTCTGTGGTTCGGTCAGACCAATCTGTGCATGACTGCCTGCAGCCCAGGTAGTGATGATTGTCTTTATGATCAATGGCAGTCTGTGGTTCGGTCAGACCAATCTGTGTGTGACTGCCTGCAGCCCAGGTAGTGATGATTGTCTTTATGATCAATGGCAGTCTGTGGTTCGGTCAGACCAATCTGTGCATGACTGCCTGCAGCCCAGGTAGTGATGATTGTCTTTATGATCAATGGCAGTCTGTGGTTCGGTCAGACCAATCTGTGCATGACTGCCTGCAGCCCAGGTAGTGATGATTGTCTTTATGATCAATGGCAGTCTGTGGTTCGGTCAGACCAATCTGTGTGTGACTGCCTGCAGCCCAGGTAGTGATGATTGTCTTTATGATCAATGGCAGTCTGTGGTTCGGTCAGACCAATCTGTGCATGACTGCCTGCAGCCCAGGTAGTGATGATTGTCTTTATGATCAATGGCAGTCTGTGGTGCCTCGGTCAGACCAATGGCAGTCTGTGGTTCGGTGACCAATCTGCCTGCAGCCCAGGTAGTGATGATTGTCTTTATGATCAATGGCAGTCTGTGGTTCGGTCAGACCAATCTGTGCATGACTGCCTGCAGCCCAGGTAGTGATGATTGTCTTTATGATCAATGGCAGTCTGTGGTTCGGTCAGACCAATCTGTGCATGACTGCCTGCAGCCCAGGTAGTGATGATTGTCTTTATGATCAATGGCAGTCTGTGGTTCGGTCAGACCAATCTGTGCATGACTGCCTGCAGCCCAGGTAGTGATGATTGTCTTTATGATCAATGGCAGTCTGTGGTTCGGTCAGACCAATCTGTGTGTGACTGCCTGCAGCCCAGGTAGTGATGATTGTCTTGGCGATCATGATCAATGGCAGTCTGTGGTTCGGTCAGAGCCAATAGTGATGATTGTCTTTATGATCAATGGCAGTCTGTGGTTCGACTGCCTGCAGCCCTGCAGCCCAGTAGTGATGATTGTCTTTATGATCAATGGCAGTCTGTGGTTCGGTCAGACCAATCTGTGCATGACTGCCTGCAGCCCAGGTAGTGATGATTGTCTTTATGATCAATGGCAGTCTGTGGTTCGGTCAGACCAATCTGTGCATGACTGCCTGCAGCCCAGGTAGTGATGATTGTCTTTATGATCAATGGCAGTCTGTGGTTCGGTCAGACCAATCTGTGTGTGACTGCCTGCAGCCCAGGTAGTGATGATTGTCTTTATGATCAATGGCAGTCTGTGGTTCGGTCAGACCAATCTGTGTGTGACTGCCTGCAGCCCAGGTAGTGATGATTGTCTTTATGATCAATGGCAGTCTGTGGTTCGGTCAGACCAATCTGTGCATGACTGCCTGCAGCCCAGGTAGTGATGATTGTCTTTATGATCAATGGCAGTCTGTGGTTCGGTCAGACCAATCTGTGTGTGACTGCCTGCAGCCCAGGTAGTGATGATTGTCTTTATGATCAATGGCAGTCTGTGGTTCGGTCAGACCAATCTGTGTGTGACTGCCTGCAGCCCAGATAGTGATGATTGTCTTTATGATCAATGGCAGTCTGTGGTTCGGTCAGACCAATCTGTGCATGACTGCCTGCAGCCCAGGTAGTGATGATTGTCTTTATGATCAATGGCAGTCTGTGGTTCGGTCAGACCAATCTGTGCATGACTGCCTGCAGCCCAGGTAGTGATGATTGTCTTTATGATCAATGGCAGTCTGTGGTCAGACCAATCGGACTCAGACCAATCTGATGGCAGTGTGACTGCCTGCAGCCCAGGTAGTGATGATTGTCTTTATGATCAATGGCAGTCTGTGATTCGGTCAGACCAATCTGTGTGTGACTGCCTGCAGCCCAGGTAGTGATGATTGTCTTTATGATCAATGGCAGTCTGTGGTTCGGTCAGACCAATCTGTGTATGACTGCCTTAACCCCCTATTAGTGATGATTGTCTTTAGCCTAGAGAATCTGTAGTACATGTTGTGCCAAGTGGTTGTAGTACACATACCTGTTAAGTGCCTATAATCATCACATTTTAATTTTTATATGGCTTTCATCTACTTAAGGTACTATTTGTTGTGAAGTCTGCTGTAAATGTTATGAGCTGTCCATACATGTGTGTGTATAATCATGTCCAGATTCCAATGATTTGTAGATGTTGCTCAATATGACCTCACATGTTGAAAGTGGTAAATATACTTTATGCTCTTATCACACCGTCTTGTTCTCTATCACACCTGTATTCTGGCAGACAGTGAGCCCCCTAGGGTCTTCTTTTTTCTCGATGCACACAAACCCTTTAAATTCAGATTTCATGTAGGCTTTCATAATAGGTCACAGGTGGATATGTACAATTCTGGTCCTTGCAGTTGTTTATGGACAATCACCTATCAATATATTGGACATCAGAAAAATGAATTTCACAGATGTACAACACCAAAGTTGTGAGGTAGCATGTCCATTTCTCTTTAAAATCTACAATAAATCAAAAGCCAGTACAATTTAACCAAGACACATCTTCCATATTAACTGTCCTTTCAAATATGCCTAAAAATCAATATGTACAAAGACTAAAATATATTTTCCTTGGTGCGAGTTTTGCTCAAGAAACAAACCCTACCCTCCAGTCCACTTTGTAAAGGCAGACATGTTTGATAGCAAGTTCTCCACTTGCCAGATATGCTTATGCGTGTAGAGTTTCCTGGTTCTGAGCAGAGTAAGGCTGAACATGAAATAAGAACAGATCCCCCCATTTGTACATGTGTATATTTATTTACCACTTTTGTATGTGGTTCAACAGATCAGTGGAATAGTAAGGTATTGTAGAATTCTTTCCCATGTTTCCACATCACTCCAACACAATCACTTCTGTACAAACTGTATAGGAACCAGCACAGATCTGTAGCCATATAGTTCTCACCATCACTATATCAGCTCAACCACCAACACTGGCAATCTGTAACAAGCTCAAAGTCTTTCGACTTTGAGAACTTGACGGTATATTATTATAATGCTCCAACTAACATCGAGAGACAAGTATCAGAGATTAGTCTGAAACGTGTTTGGCACAGATTGGTGTAGTATATAAGTCCTAGAGTGTTTCTGTGTACCATCATATTCACATGGTATATCTGCTCCACATCAGATGTCTTCAGCTTGTCTTCTGGATATCAGCTCAAACACATTGATACACACTTGGTATACATGCTGATCTTCAGACGTTAACACATTGATCATCATGCTTGTCATGCTGATCTTCAGACGTTAACACAATCATCAGCTTGTCTTCTTTGACTTCTTCTTTAACGATTTTGGTGGACCAAGAAATTTGAATGTTGTTCTGAAAAACAAACAATAACATAGAGACATATTTGTTGGGTAAATCCTGGGATTAGAATGTAGGCAAACACATTGATGTAGATTAGTACTTTTTTTAACCTGTGTGAAATGTAAATCTGGACAGATATATCTGCTTGTCTACATATGAGTATTTACCTAATCAGTTATGGTATTTCTAGTTTTGAAAATATTTTACCCAAGTATGGATTTTGATATATCAGAAAACATAACAAATTCTGTGTGTTTGAGTACTCAGATGAGTATAGTGACACTCTGTGGATGACAGGGGATACACCCGAACCGGCCCCTGGATATTTAACCCAAACCGGCCCCTGGATATTTAACCCAAACCGTCCACGCACCCGAACCGGCCCCTGGGTTAATGAACGATAATCAGACAGACAATTAATGAAGATTTCTTTTTATTATATAGATACAGACATTTCAATTAATTTATTATATAGATACAGACAATTAATTTATTATATATATATATTATATATATAGTATATATACAGACATGAAGATTTCAATTAATTTATTATATAGACACAGACATGAAGATTTCCTTTTTCTTTTGCCACCCTAAAGCTAAGTTATGAGGGATTTTATTAGAATAAGGGTCTGGGATTTTATAAGATTATACGCAAGGTGAAGATAACAGTATCGGTGCAGTTGACATTGAGTAGAACGCTAATCAGTGTCAAGTAAGAGCATAATGCTTAAGACAACATGTAAATTAATTCGCTCACGATAATTTGTTCAAAGAAATATTAAAACAACACATTCACTTTAATCGCTCAGTGAGACGCGCATAAAATAACAGTTTAATTTTGGAGCTGAAGAATGTTTTAGTTTTCATAATGTTAGCAGAATTCACTCTGTGAAAGGTGGTTAATGTGTGTTGAAAATCTTGACAAATGTTCCACACATGGAAACATGGGAAAAGATGAAGGACGACATTATTTTTCGCTACTGGAAACTTGGGCATAACAAAGGTGAAACGTGAATTCATTATATTGGATTTATGTGCTATTGTTGTATTGAATTTATGTTTCAATTCTGTGGATACGATACAACGAAATGTAAGTACACCTTTTACTTTAGTATTGTTTTGCAATTGATCTTCTAGATTCTTAAAAGAATTACATAAAATGTCCTCTACCACGGGATCTCCGTGATCAGCAGCACGCATGTTCACTTGCCTCGCATCGACACTAATATTCGCTAATATATTTTTCAAAAATCGGTATTACATGTAAAGACATATATGAGTAATATGTTTTCGTCATTTATGTTAAAGGAACTTTAATTCATATGTCAATGTAGAAATATTTACTTCTCGGGGCCGGTTTGGGGCAAATATCAGGGGCCGATTCGGGTTAAATATCAGGGGCCGGTTCGGCTTGGGGCCGGTTCGGGGGTAATTCGATGACAGCATAGTGCTATATCACACAAGGTTACATGCAGCAGTGATGTCATTCCGTGATATTTGCATTCACTTTTGAAGTAAGGAATATGCAACTGGTTGAAAAAGTAATGTCATGTTTTGTATGGTACATAAAGTCAATGGTCTATGATTCTTATGCTGCACTGCTATATATTGGCATCTAAGTATATCACTACTGGACTCCTGAAACGGTGCCACACAGTGAACCCAATATAACACCAGCAGATAGGTTAAAGATACATCAGTTATACATCTCTTCACAGACTACTGTGGTAGAAATACTTACTGACATGTCGAACAGATCGGACTGAAGTTGCAGAAAACTGAAACAGGAGGTTAGCAGCAATGAAACTTCAAAATAAAAAGTTCATGTTTACTTTTTTACACTGCTAATCCTATAACACAAGTATGGTATCAATGTCAACACTATAGCATTAATGCAAATAGCATGGTATCCACATTACCAACATGCCCAGCCATGTGACATTTATGTAGACAGTTACCATCAATGTAAACAACAAGTAATCAATGTAAACAGCATGTAATCAATGTTAACAGTATGGCATCAGTGTCAACAGAATTTCAGTAGAATGGCGTCAAAGTTAACATAATGTCAAAAGAACGGCATCAATGTTAACATATTGTCAAAAGAATGGCATCAATGTTAACATATTGTCAAAAGAATGGCATCAATGTTAATATAACACCAATAGAATGGCATCAATGTTAACAATTTTGTCCAACAATTTTTAATCATGGATGGAATGCAAACCTACAGTGAGTGAGTTAATATTTAACGTCACATCGGCAATATTTCAGCCATATCGGCAAACCTACAGAAGTTCTAGAAACTGTACTTCACTGATAAAAAGTAATCCCAATATACTTTTATATTACATGATATGTTTATCTACAGAGCATCATGTTTTTACAGTCACTGTATATCTTCATTCCATTCTGCTTCCCTAAAGCAGAGTCTCATCTGCTGAGTGGTTTTGTTTTGTCAGAAGACCATTGACATTGGTGCTATTTCCTTTTGGAAGGAAAACATAAAAACTGTCAATTAGAAGCATCCTCACAAACTATCCATCACTTGGCTATGTCAGAAAAGTAGGCCGAGAGACAACTAATAACATGATCATTTAAAACTTGTCATAGTGAGCTTAAGATGGGATCATGACCCTGTGAAGGTACTCAATACAATAACTACTCCAGAAGTTATACACCTTGCCAGACTTACTTGAAAGACAGACGGAGCAGACATATCCCACGTCGATGAGGTTGCGGTGGCAGAAGCAGGCCGCTCGGTAGTCCACCTGGTCCTTGGGGGGTAGAGTCAGCTTGTCCCTCACTACTGGGTCGGGCAGGAACACCCACTGTCAACAGTCACCATCACAGTGGAAGTTAATACCTCGAGGAATCAGATTCACAGACCTACAATTCTGGTAGCAAGGTTGAAAGCAGACTCAATGTCTTGAAATAGGAATATTTTGCTCAAAGTTAAGAAATGCAAATTCAATATTGAAATGCTTCTTAGTTTCAAAGAAATGAGGGTGATAAACCATTAGGACTGCTCCATGACAGCACTGAACATTGGACAAGATTGTCTCTATAGTGAGTGTGTGAGTTAAGTTTTACGCCGCACTCAGCAATATTCCAGCTATATGGCGGTGGTCTGTAAATAATAGAGTCTGGACAAGGCAATCCAGTGATCAACAGCATGAGCATCGATCTGCGCCATTTGGGAACCGATGACATGTGTCAACCAAGTCAGTGAGCCTGACCACCCGATCCCGTTAGTCATCTCTTACGACAAGCATGGGTTACTGAAGATCAATATTCTAACCCGGACCTTCACGGGTAATTGCCTCTATAACAACAGTGAGCAGAGTCAAACACTTTCAGAACAAAACTAAAGTAATTGCAGACAAAGTGACTTAGATGACATCACTGCTGACCTGACAAGAACAAACTACTGCATCCTTCAACTGCCCTCATCACATAAAGCTTCAGATCAAAGCTACAGAGATTTCAGTTAATATATGTTATAGCTAGAATACATGGAATTATCATGAAACGGACCTCCCATTATCAGACATTTGCGGGCCGCTGCAAATGATATTGGACTGCTCAACCTTAACGACGGGTAACTATCAGTTCTGTTGTCAAGTGACGTTATAGTGGGTGTTTGGGCTTACGGTTCATTTGACATTGGCTTTGGACTGGCAGATATTCTGGGGCAAACAAGTCAAAGCAACCCGAATTCCCGCCTTAAATAACGGTAATATTGGCTTTCTTGCTGGTGCTAACCATAACAATTGCACCATTAACGTTGTTGTTGGACCAAAACCGAACACTGAAAACTGAAGTTGTGTCTGACATAGTTTGACATGTTGCAGGCTATGGTCTTGTCAAAGGCCAAGATCGAATATCGTCACTTTCTGTTGTGACGTCACTTGAATTGTTCGATGACGTAATTGCATTCGGGCAGTCAACCCCGTCAGAAGATGGTTTTGAGTAAACTTACAGTCAAATTCCTTCATTGTTTCCCTTTTCTTTTCAACACAAATTCCATGTATTTTAGCAATAATAAGGGTAATGCTATTTTGGGGGGCATTATTATTTGCAGAAACCCTCTGTCTTTTTCAACTGCCCTCCTTCGTCGGGCAGTTAATGGAAGACCTCAGGCTTCTGCAAATGATAATGCCCTCAAAAATAGCATTACCCTTATATTGGAGTTCGGGAGTCAAGGACAGCTGTTTGTGAGATGTAGAAACTGTTAAACTTGAAGAATGTCTAAGTAGCAACAACAAAGTTTAAATGAACCTGAAATGTTGTATGTGATCCTCACAATGTTTCAGCTCTTGTGTTTCATAATCAAATAAACACGCCTCGTCCCTCATACACACCTTCTCAAACACCTTTTTTCAAAGTGTAATGATATTTGATGTGTGTGGTTATTAGCTGGGCTCAACACCGTGTGAAATTCGTGATGTCTAAATTCTCATGTTTATGTGGCCATTGCACTTACTGACTTGGACCATGTTCCTAAAATGTTTCATCATGCATTTGTTCACAGTGTACACATACCCTCCCCAGGGAGGACATGCTTGTTTACATCAGTGATGGCAAGAAGATGAAAAGTATTTCAGCCTCAACAATCAACGTCTTTAGTTAAGTAGCCATTTTTGTTTGAAGGTATGGATGACATATATGGAGGTGAGCTGCTGTAGCATCATGCTATTTTCATAATGCTCCGTGGTCTTTGAGGTGAATATATTTATCATTTTGAAACTTGAGTTTGAATGAGTTTTGAAATGAGTTAGAAGGAATGTTAGCCTGCAAGCATGTTGACTGCAACACCAGTGGGCTACAGACTCCATCTGTTCCAGACTGTTGATCTATTTGTCTGACATGATTATGTGTTAGTTTCACCAGCTCTCACCACACTCAGCAAACAGCTGTCAGCCCTGCAGCCACTGCAGCAGCAGAAGTACCAGATTTATTACACTGCTCTCAGCTGTAGTGATCAAACACATACACCTCCCATAGATCAAAGTGTTGTGACAGACACAGATGTTGCCTAGCAACCACTGTCCTGCAGGGATATCCCATGGCAACATCATCAATCAAACCTCGGCTCTAGAGACAAGAAGCCCTGAAGTCCAACAAGAAAAACAATAGCTTGACAAGCATAACAGCCTTTCTATGCACTCACAGTTTTATAACCTGATACAATGGGCAGCATCCAAAAGCATGTTATAACACAGATGTATTCATCTGTGACTATATCACTTCAGCAATCTGATGTATTCATCCAGTACTATATCACTTTAGCAATCTGATGTATTCATCCAGTACTATATCACTTTAGCAATCTGATGTATTCATCCAGTACTATATCAATGCAGCAAACTGATGTATTCATCCAGGACTATATCACTTCAGCAATCTCATCTATTCATCCAGTACTATATCAATTCAGCAAACCGATGTATTTATACAGGAATATATCACTTCAGCAAACTGATGTATTCATCCAGTACTTTATCACTTCAGCAATCTGATATATTCATCCAGTACTATATCAATTCAGCAAACTGATGTATTTATCCAGGACTATATCACTTCAGCAATATGATGTATTTATGCAGGACTATATCACTTCAACAAACTGATGTATTCATCCAGGACTATATCACTTCAGCAATATGATGTATTCGTCCAGTACTATATCACTTCAGCAATATGATGTATTCGTCCAGTACTATATCACTTCAGCAATCTGATGTATTCATCCAGTACTATATCACTTCAGCATATTGATGTATTCATCCAGTATTATATCACTTCAGCATATTGATGTATTCATCCAGTACTATATCACTTCAGCATATTGCTGTATTCATCCAATATTATATCACTTCAGCAAACTGATGTATATATCCAGTACTATATCACTTCAGCATATTGATGTATTCATCCAGGACTATATCACTTCGGCATATTCATGTATTCATCCAGTACTATATCACTTCAGCATATTGATGTATTCATCCAGTATTATATCACTTCAGCAAACTGATGTATTTATCCAGTACAATATCACTTCAGCAATCTGATGTATTTATCCAGTACTATATCACTTCAGCAATCTAATGTATTCATCCAGTATTATATCACTTCAGCAATCTGATGTATTCATCCAGTACTATATCACTTCAGCAATCTAATGTATTCATCCAGTATTATATCACTTCAGCAATCTGATGTATTTATCCAGTACTATATCACTTCAGCATATTGATGTATTTATGCAGGACTATATCACTTCAGCATATTGATGTATTTATGCAGGACTATATCACTTCAACAATCTGATGTATTCATCCAATACTTTAAAACTTCAGCATATTGTTGTATTTATGCAGGACTATATCAATGTAGCAAACTGATGTATTTATCCAGTACAATATCACTTCAGCAATCTGATGTATTCATCCAGTACTATATCAATGCAGCAAACTGATGTATTTATCCAGGACTACATCACTTCAGCAATCTGATCTATTCATCCAGTACTATATCACTTCAGCAATTTGATGTATTCATCCAGTAATATATCAATTCAGCAATCTGATGTATTCATCCAGTACTAGATCACTTCAGCATATTGTTGTATTTATGCAGTACTATATCACTTCAGCATACTGATGTATTTATCCAGTACAATATCACTTCAGCAAACTGATGTATTAATCCAGTACTATATCAATTCAGCAAACTGATGTATTCATCCAGGACTATATCACTTAAGCAAACTAATATATTTATCCAGTACAATATCACTTCAGCAATATGATGTATTCATACAGTACTATATCACTTCAGCAAACTGATGTATTCATCCAGTACTATATCACTTCTGCAATCTAATGTATTCATCCAGTATTATATCACTTCAGCAATCTGATGTATTCATCCATTACTATATCACTTCAGCAATCTAATGTATTCATCCAGTATTATATCACTTCAGCAATCTGATGTATTCATCCTGGACTATATCACTTCAGCAAACTGATGTATTTATCCAGTACAATATCACTTCAGCAAACTGATGTATTCATCCAGTACTATATCAATGTAGCACACTGATGTATTTATCCAGGACTATATCACTTCAGCAATCTGATGTATTCACCCAGTACTATATCACTTCAGCATATTGATGTATTTATGCAGGACTATATCACTTCAGCAAACTGATGTATTCATCCAGTACTAGATCACTTCACCAATCTGGTGTATTCATCCAGTACTATATCACTTTAGCAATATGATGTATTCATCCAGTACTATATCAATGCAGCCATCTGATGTATTCAGTATTATATCACTTCAGCAAACTGATGTATTCATCCAGTACTATATCAATTCAGAAAACTGATGTATTTATCCAGGACTATATCACTTCAGCAATATGATGTATTCGTCCAGTACTATATCACTTCAGCAATCTGATGTATGCATCCAGTAATATAACAATTCAGCAATCTGATGTATTTATCCAGGACTATATCACTTCAGCAATATGATGTATGCATCCAGTAATATATCAATTCAGCAATCTGATGTATTTATCCAGGACTATATCACTTCAGCAATATGATGTATTCGTCCAGTACTATATCACTTCAGCAATCTGATGTATTCATCCAGTACTATATCACTTCAGCATATTGTTGTATTTATGCAGGACTATATCACTTCAGCATACTGATTTATTTATCCAGTACAATATCACTTCAGCAAACTGATGTATTCATCCGGGACTATATCACTTTAGCAAACTAATGTATTTATGCAGTACAATATCACTTCAGCAATATGATGTATTCATCCAGTACTATATCACTTCAGCATATTGATGTATTTATGCAGGACTATACAACTTCAGCAAACTGATGTATTCATCCAGTTCTATATAACTTCAGCAATCTGATGCATTCATCCAGTCCAATAACACTTCATCAATCTGATGTATTCATCCTGGACTATATCAATTCAGCAAACTGATGTATTCATCCTGGACTATATCACTTTAGCAAACTGATGTATTTATCCAGTACTATATCAATTTAGCAAACTGATGTATTTATTCAGGACTATATCACTTCAGCAATCTGATGTATTCATCCAGTACTATATCAATGTAGCAAACTGATGTATTTATGCAGTACTATATCACTTCAGCAATCTGATGTATTCATCCAGTACTATATCACTTCAGTATATTGATGTATTTATGCAGGACTATATCACTTCAGCAAACTGATGTATTCATCCAGTACTAGATCACTTCACCAATCTGGTGTATTCATCCAGTACTATATCACTTCAGCAATATGATGTATTCATCCAGTACTAGATCACTTCACCAATCTGGTGTATTCATCCAGTACAATATCACTTCAGCAATATGATGTATCCAGTACTATATCACTTCAGCATATTGATGTATTTATGCAGGACTATATCACTTCAGCAAACTGATGTATTCATCCAGGACTATATCACTTCAGCAAACTCACCAACGTGGGACAGTGAATATTCTCACAATCATGGAACATAGAACATGCTCACCAACATAGGACAGTGAAGATTCTCACCAGCATGGAACATAGAACATGCTCACCAACATAGGACAGTGATGATTCTCACCAGCATGGACTATAGAACATGCTCACCAACATAGGACAGTGAAGATTCTCACCAGTATGGAACATAGAACATGCTCACCAACATAGGACAGTGAAGATTCTCACCAGCATGGAACACAGGACATGCTCACCAACATAGGACAGTGAAGATTCTCACCAGCATGGTACATAGAACATGCTCACCAACATAGGACAGTGAAGATTCTCACCAGCATGGAACACAGGACATGCTCACCAACACAGGACAGTGAAGATTCTCACCAGCATGGTACACAGAATTGCTGGAATATTGCTAAAAGCGGCGTAAAACTAAACTCAGTCAGTCAGTGGTACATAGAACATGCTCACCAACATAGGACAGTGAAGATTCTCACCAGCATGGAACACAGGACATGCTCACCAACATAGGACAGTGAAGATTCTCACCAGCATGGAACACAGGACATGCTCACCAACATAGGACAGTGAAGATTCTCACCAGCATGGTACATAGAACATGCTCACCAACATAGGACAGTGAAGATTCTCTCCAGCATGGTATATAGAACATGCTCACCAACATAGGACAGTGAAGATTCTCACCAGCATGGTACATAGAACATGCTCACCAGCATAGGACAGTGAAGATTCACACCAGCATGGTACATAGGACATGCTCACCAACATAGGACAGTGAAGATTCTCACCAGCATGGTACATAGGACATGCTCACCAACATAGGACAGTGAAGATTCTCTCCAGCATGGTACATAGGATTAACGTGCAACATGTAATGAGGGACATACTCACCAACAGGTACTGAAGTAGACCCAACATCTGAGGCACCTTGAGGTAGATCCCACCTGTGATGTCACATGCCTGGAAAAACACCCACTTCATTACCACAACACTCCCATTTCAGACCAAAAGTGTCTTTCTACACAGTCCTACATGACTTCTCTCCTCAGTCATACGCTCAGCTCTCTTCACAACCAAGCATAATTTCTCTTCACCAACATGAGAGTAAACTGGTCTAGAGATGTACAACATACTTTGTTAGTTCCACTATATAGCACTATGACAGAGATCCAATGAAGGAGGTGTATAGAGGATAAATAGGCATTTCACCCTAGTTTTGTATAGATACCGAGGCCTGCACATACCTGCTGCAACAGTCCTGACTCGTTGTCCAGGATACAAGCATCCACCACCACATTCTGAAAGGACAATAATTATAACATCATCTCATACGTCAGCACACTCACAGAGACTGGACACAGACAGAACCTTAGTGAACTTAAACTCTGCGCAGTGAGTCTGCACATTCCACTCGTACACACACTAAAGTGTATACAGATCATAACCCTGAAGGTTCCACATCCTGCCAGCAATATGTGAAGGACCACTAGGCATCACCTGTTTCTGAGCAGTGAACACAGCATTCATGAAGTTCATGTATTGGGTGGGGTTGTCTTCAGATCCCTTTATCACCTGCAACATGAGACAAAGTGTAATGTAGGAAGAGAACCTTCGGTAGTTCAGCTTTGACCCAACCCCTTCAGTGTCAGCGACCCAACCCCTTCACCCAACCCCTTCAGTGTCAGCGACCCAACCCCTTCAGTGTCAGCGATCCAACCCCTTCAGTGTCAGTGATCAGCGATCCAACCCCTTCAGTGTCAGTGACCCGACCCCTTCAGTGTCAGTGACCCGACCCCTTCAGTGTCAGTGATCCAACCCCTTCAGTGTCAGTGACCCGACCCCTTCAGTGTCAGTGATCCAACCCCTTCAGTGTCAGTGATCCGACCCCTTCAGTGTCAGTGACCCAACCCCTTTAGTGTCACTGTCCCAACCCATTCACCCAACCCCTTTAGTGTCACTGTCCCAACCCCTTCACCCAGCCCCTTCAGTGTCAGTGACCAAGCCCCTTCAGTGTCAGTGACCCAACCCCATCAGTGTCAGCAACCCAACTCCTGGATTACACACACACAGGTCTCCATGGGTTACACACACAGGTCTCCACAGGTTACACACACAGATCTCCACAGGTTACACAAACATGGGAGTTCACATCCATGTCTGTCACCAACATCTACCACTTGCACAGTAATTAACACAAGGACATACCAGCTCACATCCATGTCTGTCACCAGCATCTACCACTTGCACAGTAATTAACACAAGGACATACCAGCTCACATCCATGTCTGTCACCAGCATCTACCACTTGCACAGTAATTAACACAAGGACATACCAGCTCACATCCATGTCTGTCACCAGCATCTACCACTTGTACAGTAATTAACACAAGGACATACCAGCTCACATCCATGTCTGTCACCAACATCTACCACTTGTACAGTAATTAACACAAGGACATACCAGCTCACATCCATGTCTGTCACCAACATCTACCACTTGTACAGTAATTAACACAAGGACATACCAGCTCACATCCATGTCTGTCACCAACATCTACCACTTGTACAGTAATTAACACAAGGACATACCAGCTCACATCCATGTCTGTCACCAACATCTACCACTTGTACAGTAATTAACACAAGGACATACCAGCTCACATCCATGTCTGTCACCAACATCTACCACTTGTACAGTAATTAACACAAGGACATACCAGCTCACATCCATGTCTGTCACCAACATCTACCACTTGTACAGTAATTAACACAAGGACATACCAGCTCACATCCATGTCTGTCACCAACATCTACCACTTGTACAGTAATTAACACAAGGACATACCAGCTCACATCCATGTCTGTCACCAACATCTACCACTTGTACAGTAATTAACACAAGGACATACCAGCTCACATCCATGTCTGTCACCAACATCTACCACTTGTACAGTAATTAACACAAGGACATACCAGCTCACATCCATGTCTGTCACCAACATCTACCACTTGCACAGTAATTAACACAAGGACATACCAGCTCACATCCATGTCTGTCACCAACATCTACCACTTGTACAGTAATTAACACAAGGACATACCAGCTCACATCCATGTCTGTCACCAACATCTACCACTTGTACAGTAATTAACACAAGGACATACCAGCTCACATCCATGTCTGTCACCAACATCTACCACTTGTACAGTAATTAACACAAGGACATACCAGCTCACATCCATGTCTGTCACCAACATCTACCACTTGTACAGTAATTAACACAAGGACATACCAGCTCACATCCATGTCTGTCACCAACATCTACCACTTGTACAGTAATTAACACAAGGACATACCAGCTCACATCCATGTCTGTCACCAGCATCTACCACTTGCACAGTAATTAACACAAGGACATACCAGCTCACATCCATGTCTGTCACCAGCATCTACCACTTGCACAGTAATTAACACAAGGACATACCAGCTCACATCCATGTCTGTCACCAGCATCTACCACTTGTACAGTAATTAACACAAGGACATACCAGCTCACATCCATGTCTGTCACCAACATCTACCACTTGTACAGTAATTAACACAAGGACATACCAGCTCACATCCATGTCTGTCACCAACATCTACCACTTGTACAGTAATTAACACAAGGGACATACCAGCTCACATCCATGTCTGTCACCAACATCTACCACTTGTACAGTAATTAACACAAGGACATACCAGCTCACATCCATGTCTGTCACCAACATCTACCACTTGTACAGTAATTAACACAAGGACATACCAGCTCACATCCATGTCTGTCACCAACATCTACCACTTGTACAGTAATTAACACAAGGACATACCAGCTCACATCCATGTCTGTCACCAACATCTACCACTTGTACAGTAATTAACACAAGGGACATACCAGCTCACATCCATGTCTGTCACCAACATCTACCACTTGTACAGTAATTAACACAAGGACATACCAGCTCACATCCATGTCTGTCACCAACATCTACCACTTGTACAGTAATTAACACAAGGACATACCAGCTCACATCCATGTCTGTCACCAACATCTACCACTTGTACAGTAATTAACACAAGGACATACCAGCTCACATCCATGTCTGTCACCAACATCTACCACTTGTACAGTAATTAACACAAGGACATACCAGCTCACATCCATGTCTGTCACCAACATCTACCACTTGTACAGTAATTAACACAAGGACATACCAGCTCACATCCATGTCTGTCACCAACATCTACCACTTGTACAGTAATTAACACAAGGGACATACCAGCTCCACATCCATGTCTGTCACCAACATCTACCACTTGTACAGTAATTAACACAAGGACATACCAGCTCACATCCATGTCTGTCACCAACATCTACCACTTGTACAGTAATTAACACAAGGACATACCAGCTCACATCCATGTCTGTCACCAACATCTACCACTTGTACAGTAATTAACACAAGGACATACCAGCTCACATCCATGTCTGTCACCAACATCTACCACTTGTACAGTAATTAACACAAGGACATACCAGCTCACATCCATGTCTGTCACCAACATCTACCACTTGTACAGTAATTAACACAAGGACATACCAGCTCATCCATGTCTGTCACCAACATCTACCACTTGTACAGTAATTAACACAAGGACATACCAGCTCACATCCATGTCTGTCACCAACATCTACCACTTGTACAGTAATTAACACAAGGACATACCAGCTCACATCCATGTCTGTCACCAACATCTACCACTTGTACAGTAATTAACACAAGGACATACCAGCTCACATCCATGTCTGTCACCAACATCTACCACTTGTACAGTAATTAACACAAGGACATACCAGCTCACATCCATGTCTGTCACCAACATCTACCACTTGTATTGTAATACCAACACAACACAAGGACATACCAGCTCACATCCATGTCTGTCACCAACATCTACCACTTGTACAGTAATTAACACAAGGACATACCAGCTCACATCCATGTCTGTCACCAACATCTACCACTTGTACAGTAATTAACACAAGGACATACCAGCTCACATCCATGTCTGTCACCAACATCTACCACTTGTACAGTAATTAACACAAGGACATACCAGCTCACATCCATGTCTGTCACCAACATCTACCACTTGTACAGTAATTAACACAAGGACATACCAGCTCACATCCATGTCTGTCACCAACATCTACCACTTGTACAGTAATTAACACAAGGACATACCAGCTCACATCCATGTCTGTCACCAACATCTACCACTTGCACAGTAATTAACACAAGGACATACCAGCTCACATCCATGTCTGTCACCAACATCTACCACTTGTACAGTAATTAACACAAGGACATACTCACAGCTCACATCATCATGTCTGTCACCAGGACATCTACATCATGTCTTCACCAGCATCTACAGTAATTAACACAAGGACATACCAGCTCACATCCATGTCTGTCACCAACATCTACCACTTGTACAGTAATTAACACAAGGACATACCAGCTCACATCCATGTCTGTCACCAACATCTACCACTTGTACAGTAATTAACACAAGGACATACCAGCTCACATCCATGTCTGTCACCAACATCTACCACTTGTACAGTAATTAACACAAGGACATACCAGCTCACATCCATGTCTGTCACCAACATCTACCACTTGTACAGTAATTAACACAAGGACATACCAGCTCACATCCATGTCTGTCACCAACATCTACCACTTGTACAGTAATTAACACAAGGACATACCAGCTCACATCCATGTCTGTCACCAACATCTACCACTTGTACAGTAATTAACACAAGGACATACCAGCTCACATCCATGTCTGTCACCAACATCTACCACTTGTACAGTAATTAACACAAGGGACATACCAGCTCACATCCATGTCTGTCACCAACATCTACCACTTGTACAGTAATTAACACAAGGACATACCAGCTCACATCCATGTCTGTCACCAACATCTACCACTTGTACAGTAATTAACACAAGGACATACCAGCTCACATCCATGTCTGTCACCAACATCTACCACTTGTACAGTAATTAACACAAGGACATACCAGCTCACATCCATGTCTGTCACCAACATCTACCACTTGTACAGTAATTAACACAAGGACATACCAGCTCACATCCATGTCTGTCACCAACATCTACCACTTGTACAGTAATTAACACAAGGACATACCAGCTCACATCCATGTCTGTCACCAGCATCTACCACTTGTACAGTAATTAACACAAGGACATACCAGCTCACATCCATGTCTGTCACCAACATCTACCACTTGTACAGTAATTAACACAAGGACATACCAGCTCACATCCATGTCTGTCACCAACATCTACCACTTGTACAGTAATTAACACAAGGACATACCAGCTCACATCCATGTCTGTCACCAACATCTACCACTTGTACAGTAATTAACACAAGGACATACCAGCTCACATCCATGTCTGTCACCAACATCTACCACTTGTACAGTAAT